CGTAATGACTTTTGTTTCTCCTTGGCCAATCAGATTCCACGATAGAATGAAACTCGAGTGCTCCTCGCAGCGAATACCTCGCGCAGTAGTTCTGGGGCAACTTGAGCTAAACTGTGATTGGCTTAAAATTCCTACGTCACAGATATCGTTTCCTGGCTGGCGTTCGCAGACGTTATTTTCGGCGGAGACAAGCGACAGCCGGAAATACGTCTGCGTTCGCAGGCTGGTTAGACATGGATTGACTCCAAACAGTTAAAGAGCTTGTGAAACGTAGTACATGGTGAAATGTTTAGTTCCTTTAGGAGAAATTGTTTTTTAAAAACTGCGACATTTCTGGGTAGCAAAAGCGCGTTTTTTTTTTGTTTTTTTTTTTGTAAGATTTTGAGTTTTTAAATCCGCGTTGCACAAAGAGTATTCGGGCTCAAATTCTCAGGCAGCGCGTATACGTATACACAGAAACTGAGTAAAGCAAAAAAGAAAGCTTGGAATAAAGCAACAATACAGCTCCATTGAACCTTTTGTTGCTGATTTTTTTTAAAATGACCCTTTAAATTGGGTGATATTTTCCCGCAATTGCTAACTGTTTTATTGACCTAACAGAAAAAAAAAATTAAAAAATAAAAGATTCTCCGGAAACACGGCTGCCATGCGTGTTGACATGACATTCAATTCGTCACACAATTGCTGATCGCGTGATGTGAGTCACGAGCTTGGGAAGGTCCATCATTCATGGCAGAAAACTCCGTCTCAGAAATTGACCTCGTTGAGTAAGTTGTCCGAATATTTACTTCATTTTAAGTGCGATGCTTTACTGAATGTGTACCCGTACTATCTTTGTATTTATTGAAGAGTTTCAAAGTAAGGAACTTAAAGAACCGGGAAGGAAATCTTGCGAAGTCATTGCACGATGTCGCAAGTGAGGCGAAACGCTGAACGCTACTCGCCGATCATAAAAAAAACCTGCTGATTATTGGCGCAGATTTGGAGCAGTTCGAGTCCATTAGTTAACGGTAGTACAAAGAAAGCTCGAAACACGTCAAAACGTCGAATCGATGAAAATATTCTCAAGGTATTCCTGGTTGTATTTTGTTACGCCGGAACTCAAATATTCACTTTGTTCTAAAATATTTCGATTCCAGGAGCTGGCAAATTTAATTCACCAATGTTTGATTAGGAAAGAAATGGACCGAAATTTTTATGCTTGATCTAACACAGTGCAAGTAACGAAGTACAAACGGTGCATTGAGATATGTGTACAACAAGAGTTAACCTATATATCCGTGCCCGGTATCCGTGGCAGCGGATTACACTGCACCCGTGACTTGTAAATGACATTCTCGACTGGATTGTCACGCAACATTCGTGAATTTGGTTGTAGTTAAAATAATGTTTATAGGACTGAGTGGATAATTAAGTGGACTCCAATTCGGTCCGTTATGATTACAGTCAGAATTTATACGAGGTCGGTCAGTGTAAAACGGAGACGGCAGACTGCAGATCGCGGGTAAAATAAAGAATCCGGGGAGGGGGGTACTCCCTTATACGGGCCATATAAGTATGTGCAGTCCCAAAGGGTAGGGTTTTCAGCCGTTTTGGTCATAAATAGGATATCGATTTGGCTATTTTGGCCATAAACAGGGCATTTTTTCTTTTGCACCCTAGTCTTGAACTGTGTACGTTTTTTAAAAGAAGCTCCTTTTTCAGGTCATAAATAGAATAGGGAAAATCGCATATTTTGGTCATAAATAGGATAAAGGTTTTGGGAAGCGGGCTGCACACTGCCCCCAATTTTTCTGGGAGTACTATACCCCCCGGGGCAAAATGCAGACTGCATAATTTTTCAGGATATATCGTGTTATTTCCCCAATATCGAGTGCTAACCATAAATAGTGTTATTCAGACTAATCGTAGTGGACGTCTGCACTCCGGTTAGCTTGAATATCACTCAGGTTAAAATAACGCTCTGGTTAGCCTGTTTACGGTTAGTTCTCAATGATAGAGGTGACAACACGATTCAGTTAAGAAGTCTATAGTCTGCAGTCTGCATTTTACCTTCAATCTGCATTTTACCCTCGACCCTCAGTCTACATGTACAGTCCGCAGTCCGCGGACTGAGTTTTACACTGGCCGAAAACGAGGTCCTGCTGCCGATGAATCAAAACTATAACAAAATTTATGTCGAGCTATAAATACTGGTTAAAAGTCTTGATGAACATAAAATATTACCGTTGAATTTTTTTTTTTTTTTGATCAACATGAAAAAGAGCCTACTGAAGTACACCGCTGTACAAAAAGCAACGCACGCAAATGAAGCATACTGTTATATTACACCGTCTATGACCTTCTAAATAACAGATGTGGCGCGCACACTGTTACCGTCCTTATCCATAACATGAGATAATATGCATGACGCGTACACTGTCGCATATTAGCCAATCACATGAGTGAATTTTGTTTTAGTTTAAATTAAAAAGAAACAATCTCCCTTTTTTTGTGAAATATGATCTGCGGCTAGCCTTCACCAGCACGTTCTCACCACTACCATGTTCGTGGGAGTGGCAGCTCATTTAGCTGTGTTTGTTGTTTCTTCACAGAATGTCTGGCTCTGAATCGGACATCAAGAGAAAACGATTGTGGGCAATTGCTCTTGTTGTTGCTTTTGTCGCGATTGTGGTCGCCATCGGCATCTTTCTCGCTTACTGGTTCACCAGGAACCCTTTGCACGAGATCAGCCCTCCCGGGTATCCCGACTCGCTTGGCGGGCCGTACAAGCACGCGAGCGTGGCATCCGACGCGGGACCGTGTTCGCACATCGGAAAGAACATTCTTCAAGAAAACGGTTCGGCCGTGGATTCGGCCATTGCTGCGATGCTATGTGTAGGGGTAATCAATATGCACTCGACGGGGATCGGAGGCGGTGGATTTATGCTCGTTTACAATCGTAGAGGCCGAGTCGCTGAGGTGTTCGACTTCAGAGAAAGTGCTCCAGCCAAAGCTACGGAAGACATGTTTAAAAACGCAAGTTACAAAGAACTGAACAGTGAGTAAGGTGGAGTGACGGCGAGTGACTTGGGACCATTTGAATCACGTTACCTTAAGCCACGATCCTTTTAGCTTACTGTTACCATTTGGGTGTTTTACTACCCTAGTGACCTAATATGTCATTGAGGTTTCATTGCGTGACGTTTGATTGCTTGGGTTTCTTGTTTCTTAGGCACATTAGCCACAGGCGTCCCAGGGGAGGTGCGCGGTTACTACACAGCCTGGCTATCGTATGGACGGTTACCATGGAAACAGCTGGTTCAACCGGCGATCGATAAGGCTAAGTATGGCTTCCTTATAAACCAAGCGCTTTACAAGACAATGGTTCAATCAGAAAATGACATCAGGAAAGATCCAGGGTTGAAGTGAGTCTATTAATTTTCCATCAATAAATTCCAAAACCTTACAGCCGCTTAATTTAGTGCAAAATTGCAATATTTAGCGTTCATTTATTTTTGGTACCACAGGAAGGGCGCCTATTGGGGACAGAGAGCTTTTGAGGAAATACAAATCCTTTACTATTCAAAACCCGTCCAAACTCAGAGCGCTAGGTACCGATATTGGACGAGAAGTTGTTGAGAAGTTCACTGATTGAAATAAGAGTATGGGACGCTTACAAAAAAAACACCCTCGATATGGGAAGCGTTTAATATCGAGGAGAGATTCACTGGAATGTGGGCACTGCATGGAATAGCCTTCGTAGCAAGCGCGCGTCCCCGTACAAAGGGCTTTTCCTCTCTCGCCCCACCACCCCCTGCTTCGTCGAATTTTTGCTCTCGCTCCAATTTAGGCGCGGCCAGAATGCGGAAAATCTCTTTGTACGGGAACGCTTGTTACGCAGGCTATGAATGGAATCATTACAATATAATTTAGTTTGTTTATTTGTTTGTTTTTTAGAGAGTTATTGTTCGATAAGAAAGGAAACCTCAGACAGTTTGGAGACAATATCACTAACCCACAATACGCGAAATCCCTCGAGGAGATACGGGATCATCCCGAGAGCTTCTACAACGGATCGTTGGCAACGAAGATCGTTCGGGACATCAGAAGACGCGGCGGGATCGTCACCTCGCAGGACTTGAGAGACTACAAAGTCATCAGAAGGAAGGCCCTAGTTAACCAGCTGGGTGATATGACATGGTATACGGCCCCGCCACCGGCAAGCGGGCCAGTGATAACTCTCATATTGAACATTCTTAAAGGTTTGTTTTTGTGTAGATAAGTATATGTGGGGATGTAGCATCCCCATAATTTGTTATAAATAACAATTAATCCTACAACTGATTTGTTAGAATTAATGCAGCGATTTGTTCTGGCGAGCGTACAATTTGTAATTTAAGGAGCTTTAGCGCAAGCTGTTTGTTGACCGAAACAAGCCCCACTCACCCCCACCCCCCTTCGGCGAGAACCAACAACAAACTCAACCCACATATGGCACCGGGCCAGAATCGAACCCAGGCCACATTGGTGGAAGGCGAGCGCTCTCACCACCGCGCCTACTCCAACACTTGTCTCTCTACTTAATTCCGTTCAATACATGTCCACAGAGTCATGCGACACAGGCCATATGTATGCAACTTGTTTTCTTGCCATGCGACAAAGATCGATATCAGTTATACATGCACTGATGCGGGTTCTCTCTTGTCACAGGTTACAACATGACAGCAGAGTCACGTGATTCTCCTTTGACGTTTCATCGTGTAATCGAGGCTTTCAAGTTTGGTTATTCGTGGCGATCACTCCTTGGCGACCCGGCCTTTAATGATGGTATGAACGAGGTAATAGAGTCACAACAGAGGGAAATCATCAAGTTTAAACAAAGGAAATTATGACCGTGACGGTGTTTAGATGTATGATCTTAACTAGCATAGATTTTTACGATTTTGATTTCCGTTTTCTCCTTAGTTTTAGTTGCGATTGAGAAGATATATTAAACACTCGAGACAGTGTTTCGTCGGCTACCCAAACACCTCGAATTTCGTCAAAAAATACTCCGCTACGCGTCGAATTTTCAACTCTCCTCTCGGTCTTTGAAAATGTGGTCAAACACTGTATTTCGTGTTTCATGTAATATATCAAACA